GAAACCCTGTCTGTACAAAAATTAGCCGAGCATGGTGGCATGTGCCTGTAGTCCCAGCTACTTGGGAGGCTGAGTCAGGAGAATTGCTTGAACCCGGGAGGCAGAGGTTGTGGTGAGCCGAGATCATGCCACTGCACTCCAGCCTAGGCAACAGAGCGAGACTCCGTCTCAAAAAATAAAAAATAAAAAATACTATCTCACAGGTAGTATTCATTTTACTTGTTCAAAAAGGCAACAGTTTTATGAAACTTTTTTGTTAGAACCTGCCTCTGTCTTTGATACCAATCTCTTGTTAGACAATTCCTATTGCGTAATAACACCACTTTGTTTCACTCTCCATTAGCTACTGACTGACCACACCATAGAAGAGACAGGAAGCAATACCTCTTGTTTAAGCTCCACTTAACGCTTCAAGATCTAATGAAGGATTTTGAACAAAAACAAAAGCACAGCACAATTACACAGTTAAACCTCCAATGACTTTCAGATAGAAATTGTATCATGGAAACGGTTAACTAAAACCAAATATTAAGACTTATACAGGGAATAAAGGTAGTAACTTATTCTGTAATTGTGACTTTGTACTACATTTTATTATTTTTTCAGCACGTCTTTAAAATAACTTTTCTAATGAAAATTAGTATATCTACTATTTAGTAGGCAAGCGATGTGAAGGGAATTTGATCCACAATGACAGTCTTACTCATTCTGTTCTCACTCGTGAACCAAATGTGCAAATTGTTCCTTGCCACCATTCCATATTCCCCACACCCACCCCTTGCAGCATTAAACCGCCAAACACCACCCAGGGACGGATTTCCTATTTCGTCATTTAAACACATTATCTTGTTCCCTTACTATCTTGCCAAACTGGTTTCCCTCCACTTACATTTCTGAGACATGATGTAGCAAGATAACAAGTCTAGACTGTTTGTATAAATAGACAGTTGGGTCCTAAAGTTGGAGAAAAGGACCAAAAGCTAATAGTCCTCTTTTGTTTTATTTTCAGTGCACTGCCTAAACCACTCAGTAATCCCAAAGAGCTTGTCCAGTTACAAAGCATTTCTTTGTGTATGTGTGATGTGTGTGTGTGTGTTGTTGTTATTGTTGTTGTTGTTTAGAGACAGGGCTCACTCTGTTCCTCACACTGGAGTGCAGTGGCAAGATCATAGCTCCCTGGGCTCAAGCAATCCCCCGCCTCGGCCTCCCAAAGTGCTGGATTACAGGCACAAGCCATGGCACCTGGCTCTCTGTGTTTCAAAGGGCGCTCATTTTATAGTATCGTACATCAGCTCTTCAACGAGTGTGAGGCAAAAGACTAACAGTTTAGGAAAGAAAATGAGACTGCCATCTTCAATTGAGAACTAGCCTTTGCCTAACTTATCAACTAGAAAACAAGGTTAATTCAGTGAAGATCAACGGAATCACTAGAGTGTGTTCACATGTACAATGAAGGTGGAGCTCTTGTAGTTAAGATGTCGAGTGAATGACCCAGAAAGAGGGTGTGGGTGAACAGGAGTCCTGTAGATTCGTTTCAGAGGATTTCTTTCAATCTCATCGGAGTTGTAGAAATGGGAAAGTCTCCACCCATGCCTCAAATATGCCCATCCATGAACGCTGCAGAATTTTATGTTTTTAAATGTCAGGCATTTGGTCACTGATTTACAGAGTAATGTTTATCTGGAAATGACTCTCAAGACCAGTTTGGTGGGTAACGAGGAATAAAAGGTGATGTTATCTCAAAAGTCTGCCATTTAGTGACCTGCCCTAATTACAGTTATTTAGGTCAATGTGTCCACACTTCAGCATCCTCCCAAATAGAGGATGTTGATTACGTGTCCTCAGAAGGCTGTTTGTTGTAATTGACATTGACTTCGGTAAAATGTAGACAGCAACTGTTGGGAAACAAATGGGAAAACTAGATGGGTAGCACCATGCTTGGGGTAATTCCCGGGTAATGATTTGGCAGTGAGAGGAGGGACCACAAGACAGTAATAAGAACAATGGTAAAATGGGCATAAAAGGTGAACATTCCCAGAATACTGTTTTTCATTCTTTTTTCACTATAAATCTTTTTGTTGATAACTACAGCGTTGAGGGGAGGCTTACTTAGATTTAACCTTCTCAAAATTGCTGGAACCAGGATGAATGTTCCTAGTCAAAGCACAAACTTAGCTACCTCTCCCCTGATTCTAAGAAAAAAGTCTCCTTCTAACAGCCCCAGGAACTTACTGCAAATTCCAAGCTTTGTCTTTCATCTCTCTACTCTTGGGGCTCTGGGTAGTGCCACATCTGGTGGTGGTTTTGTGTGAAAGGAAATAATATATATAAATAATTTCCTGTTTGGTCATTTAAACCTATCCCTGTGCTGGACAGAATTTGACCCACTTCACTCAATAGCAGTGTCTTGTGACTGAAGTGCCCGTTATTTACAACTGCTGGTCAGCCGGAGTCAATTGAGTACTTTCGCACTAGCCCGAAAGCCACTCAGGCCCCCTATTCTGACCCTTACTGTTTTCATTTACACAAACAGTTGTTAATCGCTTCACTGAAGGCTATGATTTATTTCTTTAGAGCCTAGAATTATTTTTGACAAGAAACTCACTGTCTAGTAAATATTGTCATTATTATCACACTATTATCGTCCTCTTCTCTTTCTCATTTTTTGAAGCTGGATTTCTTTTTCTTTTTAAGAGATGGGATCTCACTGTGTTGCCCAAGCTGAACTTGAACTCCTAGGCTTAAGCCATGCTCTCACCTCAGCTTCCTGAGTAGCTGGGACTATGGGCTAGTGCCATCACACCTGGCAGAGGCAGATTTTATTTTATTCCGGAAAAAAAAAAAAATGCTGAGCTTTGGCTGGGTGCAGTGGCTCACGCCTGTAATCCCAACACTTTGGGAGGCTGAAGTGGGAGGACTGCCCGAGGCCAAGAGTTGGAGACCAGCCTGAGCAATATATTGAGATTAATAATTTTTTTTTTTAATTAGCCAGGCATGGTGGCTTTAGACTGTAGTTGCAGCTACTTTGGAAGCTGAGGTAGAAGGATTACTTGAGCCCAGGAGGTTTAGCCTGCAGTGAGCTGTGATCTTGCCACTGCACTCCACCCTGGGTGACAGAGTTGAGACCCTGTTTCAAAAACAAGTAAATAAATTAACTAATGAAAACTGAGCTTTATAATGTATTGTATAATGACTAACATATAGTTTTTTAATGCCACTAATAAAACTAGAAATATTTAATACTTTGGGGCTTGTTTTCTTTTTAGACAGAGTCTCACTCTGTCACTCAGGCTGGAGTGCAGTGGCACTATTAGGTTGATGCAAAAGTAATTGCGGTCTTGGCAGTTACCTTTAATGGTTCACTGTAACCTCAAACCCCTGGGCTCAAGGAACCCTCCCACCTCAGTCTCCCAAGTAGCTAGGACTACAGGTGCATGCCAACATGCCCGGGTAATTTTTTAAAATTACTTTTTGTAGAAACAGGATCTTGCTATATTGCCCAGGCTGGTCTCGACTCCTGGCCTCAAGCAATCCTCCTGCCTCAGTCTCCCAAAGCACTGGGATTACAGGGGTGAGCCACTGTGCCAGCCACTACTTGCTTTTTACTCTAATCCCTTAAACTAATTTCAATTTATTCTTCCTTAGACATAATAAAAATGTATGGATAATTCATTTTAGTTTGGATCTCCTGAGGTGTTTTTGAGAAAACAGAGACAAATGTTTACAGCATCACAATATGTTTGCCCAGGGCAGGTGTGGGCAAACTGTGGCACTCTAGGCAAAGGCAGCCAGTGACCTGTTTGTGTACAGGGGTTTTTATGTTTTTAAAAGGCTGTGGAACAGAAAAACAAAACAAAAACAAAGAATATAACATAGAGACTATATGTGTCTGACAAATTTTTGAAATTTACTGTCTGGCTCTTTATAGAAAAAGTTTGCTGATCCCTGGCTCAGGCTAGCATCATGTGTTAAAATGTCAAGCCTTGTATTTAGAGCAGCTGGTATCTCTTTGAACTTTATTTTATTTATTTATTTATTTTTTGGAGATAGAGTTTTGCTCTTGTTGCCCAGGCTGGAGTGCAATGGTGCAATCTCAGCTCACTGCAACCTCCGCCTCTTGGGTTCAAGCAATTCTCCTGCCTCAGCCTCCTGAGAACTGGGATTACAGGCATTCGTCGCCACACCCGGCTAATTATTTGTATTTTTAGTAGAGATGGGGTTTCTCCATGTTGGTCAGGCTGGTCACGAACTCCTGACCTCAGGTGATCTGCCTGCCTCGGCCTCCCAACGTGCTGGGATTACAGGTGTGAGCCACTGCGCCCGGCCCTCTTTGAACTTTAGACATAAATTTGGGCACTGCCTGCTGAATTGAGGTAAATTATATTGATTACAGTTTACTATTTTAGTCTATTAGATATTGCCACTATTTATATACTCTTCTAGTAGTTCTCACTTCTGGCTGCATTTTAAAATCACCTGGGGAGCTTTAAAATATTCTTGCCTAGGCCCCTGTACCAGAAATCCTGATGTAATTGATCTGAAGGGGGGCCTGGGCATAGGTATTTCTTACATGCTATTCAGGTGATTCTAATGTGCAGCCAGGTCTGAGAACCATCACAATATGTTTGGTTCACCACTCACAGGTCTATTTGTGGATGGGCAATTAGCCCATATTCATAGGCAGGATTTTTTGTGTTTCGTTCGTTTGTTTCTTTGTTTTTTGAGACGGAGTTTCGCCCTTGTTGCCCAGGCTGGAGTGCAATGGTGCCATCTCGGCTCACTGCAACCTCCGCCTCCCAGATTCAAGCCATTCTCCTGCCTCAGCCTCCTGAGTAGCTGGGATTACAGGCATGCACCACCATGCCAGGCTAATTTTGTATTTTTAGTAGAGACAGGGTTTCTCCAGGTTGGTGAGGCTGGTCTCGAACTCCGACCTCAGGTGATCCACCCACCTCCGCCTCCCAAAGTGCTGGGATTACAGGCATGAGCCACCGCGCCCGGCCCATAGGCAGTTTTTATTCACATTTTTATTAGAAATTCAATAGAGATGCGTTATACAAATTGTTCTTTAATTTCAAGGCAGAAGTGTTGCTTAGGGAAATTTTAACTGAGACTATTTTCAAATGGGAAGAGCATATGAAACAGATAATACAGAGCACAGAGAAACAGAATATGAAAGATAGGAACTGAGAGGAGCGTGCTGAAAAAAAAAAAAAGAAAAAGAAAAAGAAAGAAACCACTCAGAATTTCAATACACAAATCACTGAGTAGATGTCTTGCTATCTGTGTGAGTGTATCTGTTTTCAAAAGTGCTGTTAACATAAACAGAGCAGTAAATCTGGGGCACCATGCTTTTTTTTTTCAAAGTTGTTAAGAAGAATTATATCAGTCTGCAGGTGTCACACGCAGTTACTCAGAATCAGAAAGAAGGCTGATCGGGGGTTAGAAGATCTCCATCTATCTATCTTTTTGCAACCAACCACGTCCAGGCTGTTTATTTAATACTTCCTCTTGCTAATGAAGGTACTGGTTGGGGATGGGTCGAGCTTTCCTATCTCGGCATAAGACTGCAAGATTTGAATGTGCCCTGGTGTCGGCTTCACTGACCACAGCAGGTACCCCAGGCAAGAATCTGAGCAGTTATAACAGGTAACAACAATAGAGTGTGCATCCAACTTCGGACACTTCTCCTTCCAGTTTATTTCCTTTTCCCCGCATGTACCAATGTGTTCTTTTCTCTCTTCTTTTTATATTTTTCCAAACCAGCAAGTGCGGAGGCAAGACACATCAAAGCAGAGATGGGAAGTGAAAGAGCTCTCGTACTGGACAGATTAGCAAGCAATGTGGCAAAACGAAAAAGCTCAATGCCTCAGAAATTCATTGGTAAGAATACAAACCTTTTTCCTGCTGCTGTTAGCAGATAGTTTGAATGAAATAACATAGGATGCTTGCTACACAAGTCCCTTCCTAACTTAACCTCTGTTAAAATAATTAGTTTTTCATTGCGTACTTTTATTCTTCGTGGTTCATTTTGATAGCTCTAGAAAATGGAATAAAAGATATTAACTAAAGCATCATCATGACAAAGACCGGAGTATTTGATATATAATTTCCTAAATGGACGTGATGTTTAAAATCCTGTTCCTTCCTCTTTACTCTGAATGACATATGTTGCATGAGAGAGTTTATGTAATTTATACCAGTAAGATGTTCAAGATAGCATTTTTGTAATCTTTTGTAATTATATTTTACAAGTTGGTTCGTTAGCATGCTCAAACTTTTTTCATGCTCTAAAACATATTGCCATATTTTCTTGAATTTGATTGAGAATTGGCTTTCAGGGAAAGTGGTTGGGCAAACATAGATTTATATAACAAGGTTTGATTTAATCATTTGTCTTACTGGAGTTAATTTTTATGCCATTGGTTTTCACATTGTCAAAAAATACAGCAGGATGAGATGGCTACGAAATAATTATGTTCATGAAGTGTTAGGACCTCCAAATGGCAGAGATATTTTGCTGAACTCTCCCAGATGTTTACATAAATGTGACCATGATATTTAAAATAGATTTGTATTTGTGAAGTAGACGACTGAAATTGAATATATCCGTTTTGCTATAAATTGAAAGTTGGTGATATTGAACAAAAATAGTTACCACATGAAAATAGACCTCCCTCAACATCAGTAATATTTTAGAAACCTGTCTCAGTCTCTTTTTCCAAAGCTGCTTGTAGCTGTTGATTTTTTATTTCAGTCCTTTTGTATTTATTCTTCTCAATAGCTCTTACAGATAGTAAGTTGCTTGCCTAATCTGACTAAATTTGATTCTGGTATAGATAATGTTTTTACAAGCAAACATTCTATGTGAATTATAGAGGTATATTGAAAGAACACAAATATTTCAAAATTACCTAATTTGGTATTTCTGCCTATTTATTTTATTTTAACTAGCTGAAAGGTTTTTGTGCACTTTTAGTCACTTTAAGAATAAATTGTGTCAGAGTAAAGTTGGTGTATTTCAGTTGAGGGAGATCCCCTCCTCCTTGCTGTCCTCCCTCCCCTTGGTGAAAGATGTCAGGGGAGCATGTAGTGACTTCCATTTAGAGTTTAGGCACAGTAAACAAATGGTGAGTTTAAGACATTATCTAAAACATTGCCCATGTATCTTTTGGGCTTTACTTATGTGAAGAGGTTCTGACTGGAGTACAAAAAAAGCTTGCCTCATTATTCTGAGTGTATTTGAATTTGGAGAAAGTTGTGGGTTTTGTTTGTTTGTTTTGAGATGGGGTCTCACTCTTCGGCCTAGGCTGGTGTACAGTGGTGCAATCATAGCCTCGAACCCCTGGGCTCAAGAAATCCTCCCACCCCAGCCTCCCAAGTAGCTGGAACTATGGGCACGCACCACCAGGCTCAGCTAATTTTTAAACTTTTTGTGGAGATGGAGTCTCTTTATGTTACCCAGGCTGGTCTGGAGTAAGTTTTGACTAGAAATGACTGAAGCCGACATGAGGAGGGACATCACAGGGAGAGCTGGGCAAGAAAAAAATGTAAAGCAACTTAATTTCTTTTTTGTTGTTGTTGTTGTTGTTGTTGTGACAGAGTTTCACTCTTGTCGCCCAGGCTAGAGTACAATGGCACAATCTTGGCTCACGGCAACCTCTGCCTCCTGAGTTCAAGTGATTTTCCTGCCTCAGCCTCCCAAGTAGCTGGGATTACAGGCATGCACCACCATGCCCAGCTAATTTTGTATTTTTAGTAGAGACGGGGTTTCTCCATGTTGTTCAGGCTGGTCTTGAACTCCTGACATCAGGTGATCCGCCCACCTCCGCCTCCCAAAGTGCTGGGATTACAGGCATGAGTCACCGCTCCTGGCCACGACTTAATTTCAATCCAGTTGTGGTCAATGCATTTTGGTCTAAGAGAACTAAGTTTGAGAGACAGTCCCTAATATTTACAGTTGCCCCAAACCTATAGTTTAACTAAAGCCCTACTTAACATAATCCAAGTTGCTTTGGTATTTCATGGGTTCAAAAATACAGCATGCTTCCTATGTGCAAATTCATGCCATTTTTCCTGCTGCCTCGGGGATCTGTTTCGTTTGTTTGCTACTATTGCAACCCAGAGGATTTTCACTTCACCACTTCCAGACTTGTGAGAGATGCTGATCTTGTAGGTGCTGATTTCTCTCATCTTCTGAACCATCGCATTCTCTCTGTGCTGGAGTCAGAAACCTAGGAGAGTTAGCTCTTGATTGAGCTGAAGTAGCAACTTCGGGGCTTCAGGGCCCAGAATAACCGGGGGAATTTTTTTTTTTTTTTGTAAATTGTGGTGTAGTGCAATAAGGAGAGTACTGGATTAGAAGCTAAAAGACCCAGGTTCTGATCCTAGCTCTGTCATTTCTTAACTGTGTGTTTAGACAAATCACGTAACCTTTCTGGGGCTCTCTTTACTCATCTGTGAAATGAGGAGACTGAATAGGTGATGAAGTGACCAGGAAGGTTACTCCCATGTACAAGTCTGTGAGATTAATTAGAAAAATAAAAGGCAGCAACTATTGATACCACTGTGTGTTTAGAAAGCCCATGTGTGTAACTTCAGATAACCTTTTTCTCAAGGCAATAGAGATATGGTGTATATGCTATACACCATATCCTAGGTTTTTAGGGTCTTTTTTTGTTTTTTTTTAGGAAGATGGTATAAATCTGAGAATCTAAAACACAGTTGCATTAGCCCGACATTCATCTGTTTTACTTAGGGCAGTACTACTTGTTCATTCACTCTTTCGTCCATTCATTCATCATACAGAAGGTTAAGAGTTCCTGTCGTATATATGGTATTCTTGTTCTTGGGCACTGTTCTAATCTTCTTGCATTAACTTGTATCCTAAACTTTTGTTTGAAAGGTTTTTTAAAAATAAAAATAAAAGAAACCCCTTAAATTATTTAACTGAATAAACCTTTGTGATAGAAAATAGTAATGTCAGCGGAGGGAAAAATGAACATTATCTGTGACACTGTGCAGTGTATTAGATGAAGTGATGTAAAACGTGGGGCTACTGTTTTCTCTCCATCTCCCCTTGCCTTGCCTCACCTCTCCTCTCCTGTCCTCTTCCCTCTCCTTCCCTCCCCTCCTCTTCCCTACTCTCCTCCTCTCCTCCTCTTCTCTCCTTTCTCCTATATTTCCTCTCCAAGGCACTGTTTTTTGAAGATTCAGCTGCCAGAGTAATGGCAATGGGTAAGGTGTGAAGGAAGAATGAGTCATTCCCTTTAATCCTTGCTGACAGTTGCACAGCACTCAGACCAGCCTTGACTTCCCTGACCTCTTGAACTGTGAGGGTAAAGGTGAAATTAGACCATCAGGTCAGCCCGCTTCTATCTCAGGCAGGCTGGAGATAATTACCAGTAGAGAACACTTTGCATCCATTAGAGATGAACTGGGGAAGAGGGACAGATTGGATCAAGTCTAAATGTATTTTGAGACACAAACATGCTCTCAAGTCAGAGAAAAATATTTTTTTTTTCTAATTATCCAAGAAATTTTGTATGGCTTTGTTTCAAATGGGAAAAAAAGTGGACACACGTCCATCAGGAATCACCATCTTTACACTGTCAGAATAATTATGTTTAAGTTGTTGTTTTCAAAGGACAAGAAGACATTCCTTTGCACATACTGTCCTTTAGGGGATTTCCTTTCTCTGAATCTTGTTCTCCTGTTATAAACTTGTTTGACTACACTTCAAACTAGGCCATCCTCAAATACTTGGCTCAAAATGGATTTCTCTCTTGGATGGAGAAGAAAAATGACTACATTTCTGCATATTTCTCCTGATTTTTATTCTTTCCCAAAAAAACAGATGTTATTCAGACCAAAGTGGTTACCATAGCATCTCCTTATTTTAAAAGTTTTATGTATTACTTTATTAAAGGAAGTTTTCATATCGAAAACATGAAAAAAAGATCTCACTCACCTGTGGTAAACATGTTAATGAGGTTTTGACACTTCAACAAACCATCGGATCTCCCTGTGAAGTAACTAATGAGAAATTGCCTGCTTTGGTTAACAGCAACAGGAAGCAGTTTTAATACCTGTTTCTAAGAGAAAAAAAAGTATTTTTCCAACCCCTTCCCAAAGGCCTGATGTCCATAATCCTGTAAGCATTACAATGTCATAGTATTTTAGGGATATTAGGAACCACCAGTGAGGCTCTTCCATGGAAGGAAGGAGGATCAGAGAGGTGGAGTGACACAGCTGCAGGTGACAGAGTAGCGCCAGACCTCGGCCTATAAGGCACTGCAGTCCAGGCCCTTCCTTCCCCAGGAGGTGACCAAGAGCAGTGCATGTCATGTGGGGGGCTTTGGACAGCGAGGAGTCTGGTCATTGAAAGTTGGTGGGAGAGGCCAGGTGCAGTGGCTTACACCTGTAATTCCCCACTTTGGGAGGCCAAAGCAGGTGGATCACTTGAGGTCAGGAGTTCAAGACCAGCCTGGCCAATATGGTGAAACCCTGTCTCTACTAAAAATACATAAATTAGCCAGGTGTGGTGGTAGGTGCCTATAATCCCAGCTGTTTGGGAAGCTGAGGCACAAGAATCGCTTGAACCCAGGAGGCAGAAGTTGCAGTAAGCTAAGATCGCATCAGCCTGGGCAACAGAGCAAGACTCTGTTTCAAAAACAAACAAAAAAAATTGATAGAAAAAACCCCTTGAAGAAGGGCCATTGTTCTCCCTCAAGGGTGATCCTCTTTAGAAAAGAACAGTCTTCCCTGGTGACTCCATGAGAACAGATGACATCCACACAGCACTTCCCAGTGTCTCACAGAGGACAAGACTTCTGCAGCGACCAAATGTGGTCTCCAGCTCAGCTTTCCCCAGCGCCACCCCC